CATTACGTTCAACATCGGTGAGCGCGAGAAAACTCGGAGTTATGTATGGACGACTCAGGAGTTTCTGAAAGTCATCAAAACTAAAGGAGTCGCCAGCTTGAGATTGTGAAGTAGCCATTTGAGATGGAACGAAGTTTTTCAGGATTACGTAGCAGGGAAGTAAAGGATGAACAGTAAATCGTGAGAGAGACGCGAAAAATTTGAGGCGTGATTTAGTGGTCCAGTGAAATGGCGTGTTTGGGGGTTATAAGGGTTTGCAAAACGATGCACCTTTAAGTTATAGAAGAAAACAATGATTGAAATTCTTGGGAATTTCGAATGTTGCTGGAAACACAAAGTGAATATGGCAAAATTTAATAATTATTATTAATTCTGCCATATTGGGGGGTAATTGTTGACACATAAAAATTCAGCCCAAATCAAACGGCCCAAAGAGTGAAGTCCAATTGGAGGATTCCCAAATCAGATAGCCCAAAGAACGAAACCCAATCAAACAAATCAAGATGAAGGCCCAAATAGGGAGGCCCAAGAACGCGGTAACGCCATCGCCCAAGTTTGCAAGTCGCCCAGAATCTGAGCGAATGGAGTGCCATACAGTCGCCCAGAGCTGTTACTCTATTCTCGCCCAAACCTTCAAGTTGCCCAAGGTCTTAACAAACATAAAGCGTTGTGGTTATCAAGACGTGCCGTTATCAAAGCAGTTATTAAAGCAGCCCTATCACGTTCCACGATTCAAGGAATTCAATCGAAAGCGGTTGAACGACGAAGAGTAATGACAGCAGTTAAAAAATGAAGTTTTCATGACAAGTTGGCCATTACGAGGAAAGTAGGTAATTATAGGACGATCAAGCAGTTTTTAGGCGATTGATCACAAAGAGATCGTCCATGAAGTATAAAAGGGAGAAAAGATATAGAGCAAATGATCGAATAAAAAACTCTCGATCAAAGAACATGTAATTTTAATTTTCTTAACTTAGATTTAAACACTTTTCTTTCAGTAATTCGTGTGCTTGCTCCCCTTGGAAGCACATTATTTTTAATTTTCAATTGTAAAGTTATCGCCAATAAAAGAATACCCCTTTTTGAAACTTTGTTTCAAGAGGTTTGTTCCTTACACAATCGTCAAGATTCTTTTTAATTGTTAGCGACTAACACGCGAAACAACTTCTTTACTGTTTTCATCTGTTCCTCTTAAACTTCCAGAAAATCCTTAACGTATTCTTCCAAAAATTCTAATTCCTTCCTGCGAAATTTGAATACTGAAAAGACCTTTGAACTTTTGCTGAGTATTATTGTTCGAACATCGTTGCCTCTAATGTTAACCTTCCGGTTTTTCTCTCGTGACTTTGTTGAAATCTTTCCTCAAATTTTATGACGAAGGGAAAAATTTGCCCAGGTAGTCTACCGAGACAACTTGAAGTATCTTCATCTTTTGCCTCTTGTTGTGTATGTTTGTTCCATTTGTTTTATTTGTATTTCTATTTGATCCATTTTTTTCTGTAGTCAGGTTTCACCAAATTTCAGTGAGATATTGTGTTTTGTTAATCTCTTGCTTCTTTTGTGTATATTTGTTCTATTTTTTCTACTTTATTTTTACTTGCTCGATTGCTTATCTGTGTTTAGGTTTACCAATTTTCAACGAAATTTTTTGTTACTTCCATCTTTTGCCTCTTATTTTGTATGTTTGTTCCTTTTTTACCTCTATTTTTATTTGCTTCATTACTTCTCTTTTGTGTTTATGATTACCAATTTTTTGTCAGATTTGATGTTCAGTGGAAAGTGCTTATTGCAAGTATGCAAATGTATTAGAACTTAGTAGTTATTAATTTTTATGCAAGATTGTTTACTTATTTACAACTCGTTGAACTGAGAATTTCCCTTCTATTTGTCAGTGTAGAATTAAATAGTTAATTACGTTTTATTCTTTGCTCCTTTGTCAGCTGGCACTATAGTTGACATTCAATTGATACACTTGGGACTAGTTGTGGCAACAATTCCTTTGATGCTTTCTAGAAGACCGTTTTTTCCTTTCGTTTTCCTTTCCATTTGATTTTTATTTGAATTTCTCTCATGGCCTACTCAGTACTCAGACATAAAAAACCTGAGTAATCTGAGTGCAAATTCTCTTTAATCACATCACGATTGGAATTCGGAATTGAGGAAGAATCAATATCAATGGAGTCCTCTCTGTTCGAAGAAGCCTCACATGTAACGTTTGCAAATGTAGTCTCACCACCTTCCGCCATTGGTTACTCTTTTTGTTCACTTCTTTAATTGTTTACAACTTTTTGTTTAATTAATTGTGATTCTGATAATTCATTGTATATCGAAATTCGGATCATTTGCATCTGGATTCTTTTTCCTTCTTTGAAGTTAATTTTTAATGAGCTGATTGCACTGGGTTGAAAAGATATTTTATAGTTTGTTGAAGAAATTCTTGTGTTCTAAGTTTTTTATATGGTGATGTTTCATGCAATTTCTGTAAAGGTTTAGTTTTTGTGAGTAGTTTAGGATATGGCAGATGTTGTGTGATGAATGTGAAGGAACATGAAAGGGCTCAATGGTTTTTGAGAATTTAACTAACAAAGTATGTTGAGAAGAGATGAAGTTTGTAGTGGTGGTTGAGAAATGGAGTATGTGTTGATCAACTGTTGAAAATGGAAGATGCAAATTACGTGCTTGAATCCGAAAAGGAAAAGTGAAAACCCTCAACTTTTTGTTGATTTCCTTCTTTTCTTTAGCTGTATTTTTTTGAGATTCAAAAATCTGTATTCAATATTTTTTTCTATTGTTCTCGTCAATGAGCCTTTGATTGTTGTAGAAAAATATTGTCTTCGGATGTAAATTTTATATTTTTATTTTATATTTTATATTTTTTTTATCAAAGGGGTTTTATGGATAAACTTTAAAAATGATTTGAATGGTGATTTTCTTCTGGATTCATACAACTTAAATCGGATGCTCTTTTTTTGATGTTCTACAAGTTTTGACTTGTAGCCATCTATTGCGATATTTCTCCTTTTCGTTTTCAATTTCTACTATCAGCAGGTATGACCACTTGCAGTTTGTTCAATTTTTTTATCGTTGGCAATGTCATTTGTTCATTTTATTTATATGTTAATTTGTTTTTATTCAAATTTTTATCCTACTTTATTTGTCACAAGTATCTCTGTTAAAATTTTACAATGTGGTCCGTATGTTCTTTCGTGTCCCATTCTTCAATATCCTTTTGTTCTCTTCTAGTCAATAAAACAAGTTTTGACCTGAAAAGGCTCGTTGTCGTATCAGATTTTATGACCGGATGATGAAGTTTTCTTTTCATTGTGTTTGCTATAAAGGAAGTTATATGCCTATCCTAAAATCTATTTTCTATTATTTTCCTTTGTTATCAACTATTTGTCTTCATATTTTCCTAAAAGTTGCTTGCTTGATACATTTGCACCATTTTTATTATTATTGATTATGCTAAATAGTGAAGCCTCCATAAATTCATTAATGGGAAATCGAACTATCGTAGCAAGAATTCCTTACAGTGATTTACTTTTATATTGAGTACGAGTTGGATGTCCTTTATTATTTTGGGCTCATAAAGATATGTTCATTTTATTCTGGAGACTATAAATTCTTTGATGTTCATATAAGTATTAGTATCTATGTTTTGGTTTCTTTTCTGTATAATTAACATGTGTGGTACTTAGTGAGGAGTACAGTAACATTTGCCTCTGTTTTGTATATCCTTTGCTTGTTATCTATATTCTGTCAAAATGTATTGAAAATGCTAATTTTTCTGTTTTTTCTTTCCAAGTGTGAAATCTGTTGGTGATATTTATCTCAGGAAACTCAAGTTTCATAGAGATCAGGTTTTTCAACAATTTGCAAACCATTTCCCCATGAAGAGACCAGTATAACAGCTGAACCCTCCATTTTAACTAGAGAGCATAGGCCACACAATTTGTTTTTAATATATCAGAGTCAGTTGTAAGTAGTTAGTGAATTAATAAACTTTCAGATTTTTGTAGTTTTTCAAAATGTGAGTGATGTTGTTCGACTTAAAAGGACTGTGGAAGGGAAGAAAGTGAACTCAAATAACCTTGGAAGTAGTAATTCGAAAATCTCTACATCTACAAGAGTGGTTCTTAATGGTCTCAAAAGCAACAGTACTTACTTTTATAACTTTGTGTTTAATTATTTGTTTTAACTCCACTTTGCATAATTTTCAATTCATATATGTAACTAATAAATAATATTAATGTGGTGATGTTAATTATCAGCTAATCAAATTTATATTGACAATAATTTGTGGAAATCTGAATCCTCGATTAGATGTTCTTGCCTTTTGTTGTAATGGCTAGATTCCCAAAGTTGTTTCATTGCAGCCTCTAAACTGCTCGTCGGATAAGTATAACTGCCTCTTTATCGCATTTTAATAGGTGATCGAGATCCCATTAAAACATTTTGGATGGATTACCTGTCTTTTGCATCTATTAATATGCTGATTTTTACATTCTAGGGAACTAATTGAAGTTTCTTAAGAAAACACATCATAGATATCTCATTCATTCCGCATCTTAAAGACAAGCTATTAGGGACGTATGGATGAATGATATATGAAGTTGCTGTCATTTTCTTCCTTTGTTATTCTTAACTTGGTGATGAGGACATCATTATAGTTGGACTTTTATTATTATTTCAGTATTTTAGTTGGACTTTTATTATTGTTTCAGTTAGACTTTTATTTAAGTTTATGTATTTTAGTTAGGACTTAAGTAATGAGCTTGGCCCTATATTTCTAGGTTTTTATTATTTAAACCTATCTTGGTTTGTAATTTTGGACGATGAATGGATTGAGAATTATTGGTTTGGCTGCTGCCGTCTCTTCTCCCTCTTCTGCCCTATTTCTCCTCCTTCTTCCCTGTTTCTCTGTGTTCCCTCTTCCCCACCATCCTAATTCTGCATCAATTTGGTATCAGAGCCAAAATCCAACAGTAACAGAATCCCACAACCAATTACCCCACGGCTGAAATCCGTTCAGTTAATCCCCAGTCAATTATCCCCCCTTTGAAACCGCCAATTTCTCCTATTTCATATACACTTATATACACACAACACAACCCACTGCAGACAAGGACGACCAGTTTCCCTCACGACTGCCAATACACAACCCTCAAGATCGCGACTTTCACACTCGCGAGCCGCAACCAATACAAACCCCAACCAAAAGAAAGCCCGTCATGCAGAACTTAAAGAGCAGAGAAGTCTGACCAGAATTTTTTCCGTCCACCGTCGCCCTCCAACTACCACCCTGCAGCTTACACAAATTCCTTATAACCCACCGAAATCACAGCAACCAAAAAAACGGAACCATCGCCTGTTCGAGATTCACAAACCTGCAAATTCGGAAAAAAAAAAAAAAAAAAAAAAAAAAAAAAATAGGTATCGTGAATTTTAAATTTTCTGACATCATTTACAGGTTCATTTTAGTTGACTGTTCAGTACCGCACCTTGACGAGCACGGAATTTTCTATCTTGGCATCTCAGGGCTTAGTAGTTCAGAACGTGGAGACATTCGACGCTGGGACGACTCAAACCAACAGTACTCAGGGAGTTCCTGATCCTATTCATTTTTTGTTGACGCTATTTCTTTATTTTAGAATTGTATCAATTAATTCGTTGTGTGCTGGCCATTTGATAATATTGCCTTCAACCTATTCGATTGTATTTCACGAACTAAATTCCATTGATGTGTACTAGCCCTTTGATAATACTGCCTTAAACCTATTCGTTTATATTTCACGAACTAAATTACATTACTCAATCGTTTACCCCACGTGACTAGACCTAGTATTTGGACATTTGCTTTTCTATTTTATTAGCATTAGTAGTACTAGCTTGCGAACGAGCCATAAGTAACCCCAAACTTTAAATTGACAAAATAACAAAAAAATAAATAAATAAATAAATAATAATAATAATAATTTCAATCACTAATTCTTCGGTTGGCACTAGTTGATTGTTGATTATTGATCTCAGTAGTGCACTTTACGTAGTCGTGTTACCGTGTATGCAATTGCGTAGTGGTCGCGTTACTGCCTCTAGCTCTAGTAACCTTACCATGGACCCCGCCCAAATTGAGGCCCTCACCAGACAGCTTGCACAATTACAAAATCAACTAACAGCTGTCCAAACTGAGGTAGCCGCTACTCGTGAAGAGAATAGAGCCCTAACTGCTAGGTTGAATACTCTTGACCCAATCCCATATTCGGCCGAGGCTGAGAACTCTGAGGCTTCCATTAATAGGCCTCATCGTCGCCCACAAGGTGGTCGACACCACGCCCGACATGGTCGTAGGGAAGGGAAACAGGCTCGGGAACGAGAGCGGGGATATTATCGTCATGGTACACAATCTCCCCCTCGCCACAAGGAGCGCCTCTTTCGAAATATTAAGTTGGATGCCCCTACGTTTGACGGTTGTCTAGATTCTAGTGCATTCAATCAATGGGTTAGAGATATGGATCGCTTCTTTGCATGGTATGGGGTCCCGGATTTGAAGTTAACTAGCACTGCTCAGCTCTTTTGGGAGAGTGTTGAGGACTTCCTTGAAAGGCGTCATGCTCCCCCTGTTGGGAGCTGGGATGAAATGAAGCATCGCCTTCAAGAAAAATATTTACCCCAATCTTATAGGGGTAACTTGCTGGATCAATGGAACGCACTTACACAAGGTAATCGACCTGTGACCGAATATGTTGCTCAGTTTGATGAGTTTCGAATGAAATGTCAGGTTGTTAAGGATGAAGTTATGACTTTGAGTAGGTTTAGGCAAGGCTTTAGAGACGAACTTAGGCGCGAGCTTGTCCTTAGGGGTGTTACCACTCTCGACCACGCCTACTCTTTCGTTCGGGATTATGAATTAGTGATTAGGACACCGTATAGAAATCGTAGTGACTCCCGCACTACAACCTCATCTGCATCCACGCCATCCCCTAAGTCTAGAGGTCCTCCTCCCTCTAATACTACCCCTGCATTGGATAGCAAAGGTAGAGGTTCTGAGGTTTCAAGGACATCCTCCCGTTTGCAATGCTTCAACTGTAAGGGTTTTGGTCACATTGCTTCTAAGTGCCCTAGCCGAGCCCTAGTTCTGGACGAACGTGAGGATATAGTCGTCGAACCACTAGAGGATCAGGTTTATGAGCCTAAGTTAGAAGAGTTTGAAGACTTGGAGGACAGTGAGGATACCTTCTTAGGTTGTATTCAGGCTAGTCCCATTATCCCACATACACCCAGAGTCGGTGTCGTCCGTTGCACCCTCACCCAGCCTAAGGATGCGGACGATTGGCGCCGTCATGCCATCTTCCACACCTACATCAAGATTAATAACAAGGGCTGTAAAGTTATCGTGGATAGTGGTAGCTGTATTAATACGGTTTCGAAGGCTACTATATCCCGTCTAGGGTTGAAGCCAGTTCCTCACCCCCAACCTTATAGTGTCTCTTGGGTTGACACCTCCTCTATAGCTGTTAAGGAGCGTTGTTTAGTCCCTATCCAGTTCCTGGAGTATAAGGACCATATAGGTGTGACGTTATTTCGATGGACGTCGGGCACATCATCTTAGGACGACCTTGGCTATTTGACCTAGATGTAACCATATATGGTCGATCCAATTCCTGCTCCTTCGTGTTTAATGGAAAGAAGATTTACCTTAACCCACCACCCCCAAAGCCGGCTGGCTCACTAGAAGCGAAGAAAAGTGTGGAACAAAAGGGGTTGCATATCATTAGTCCTACAGAGTTTGAGCGTACAATTGTTGGTGACTCAATTGTGTTCGCCTTAGTAGTCATGGAGGTTTCATCTAACTCCACAAGTGAGGATACTGCGGAAGTCCAATCGATCCTTCAGGAGTTTCGAGATGCCTTTTCAGAGGACCTACCTGATCATCTACCTCAGCTAAGAGATATTCAACATGCCATAGATTTCGTCCCCGGCGCATCCCTTCCAAATTTGCCACATTATAGGATGAATCCTACCGAGCACGCTGAGCTCCAAAGGCAAGTGGATGACCTTCTCAACAAAGGATTCATTCGTGAGAGTTTAAGCCCATGTGCTGTCCCCGCCCTATTGACGCCCAAAAAGGATGGATCTTGGAGAATGTGTGTGGATAGTCGCGCTATCAATAGGATCACGGTGAAGTATCGTTTTCCCATTCCCAGGCTTGATGATATGCTGGATATGGTGGTTGGCGCGACAATCTTTTCAAAGATCGATCTAAAGAGTGGGTACCATCAAATTAGAATTCGCCCAGGGGATGAGTGGAAGACCGCGTTTAAGACGAAAGATGGCCTTTATGAATGGCTGGTCATGCCTTTTGGGCTAAGTAATGCGCCGAGTACCTTCATGCGGGTAATGACACAAACTCTTCGGCCGTTCATGGGTAAATTTCTCGTTGTCTACTTTGATGATATCCTCATCTATAGTAAAACTAAGGAGCAACATCGTGACCACGTCAAACAACTTTGCTCTACCCTTCGCGAGACTAACCTGTATGCTAATGTCAAGAAATGTTCCTTTTTCACTGATAGCGTAGTTTTTCTGGGGTTCATTGTCTCGTCGACAGGGGTGTCTGTTAACCCTACTAAGATTCAGGCAATAATTGACTGGCCTGAGCCTAAGGCCATTCATGATGTCAGGAGCTTTCACGGCTTAGCTACGTTTTACCGCCGTTTTATTAAAGGGTTTAGCACTATTATGGCGCCTATCACGGAGTGCATGAAGAAAGGGGACTTTGGAGTTGAATGTGACGCTTCTGGGGTAGGTATAGGCGGAGTCTTAAGTCAGGATCGTCACCCTGTCGCCTATTTCAGTGAAAAGTTAAATGAGGCCAAACGACGATATTCAACGTATGATAAGGAACTGTATGCGGTGGTCCAGGCTTTGCGCTATTGGCGCCACTACTTGTTGCCCCAGGAATTTGTCCTTTATTCGGACCACGAAGCCCTCCGTTACCTCAACTCTGAGAAGAGATTAAGTTCTAGGCATGGACGTTGGATTGAATATTTGCAGGCCTATTCATTTGTTTTAAAACACAAGAAGGGCGTGGAGAACCAAGCAGCTGACGCGTTAAGTCGTCGTGTCTCCCTTTTGTCGATTATGAGTGTCAAAGTCATTGGTTTTGAAAGGCTTAAGGAGGATTACGAGGCATGCCCAGATTTTAAGGATATCTTTCTCGATTTGCAAGGAGGACAATCAAACAGCATAGATGGCTTTCGACTTGAGAAGGGTTATCTCTTTCGAGCCAATGAATTGTGCATCCCTCGAACTTCAGTGCGAGATTTTATAGTGTGGAAAGTTCACGCGGGAGGGTTAGCCGGTCACTTTGGGCGTGATAAGACCATTGAGGAGGTTGAACGCCAATTCTATTGGCCTAGTTTAAAGAGAGATGTGGCTAAAATTGTTAATACATGTAACACTTGTCAATTGGCCAAACAGAAGAAGCAGAACACAGGCCTATACACTCCTCTCCCCGTCCCCAATTGTCCTTGGCAAGACGTTAGTATGGATTTTGTGCTAGGACTGCCACGCACCCCAAAGAAGCATGATTCTATTTTCGTGGTTGTCGATCGTTTCTCGAAAATGGCTCACTCTATCCCCTGTAGCAAAACATCGGATGCGTCCAAGGTTGCCATGTTATTTTTTAATGAGATTGTCAAACTGTATGGGCTTCCCAAGACCATCGTGTCCGATAGGGACGTTCGCTTCACTAGCCATTTTTGGAGGACTTTGTGGCATAAGATGGGTACCAAATTAAAATTTTCTACAGCCTACCACCCTCAAACTGACGGTCAGACCGAAGTTGTTAATCGGAGTCTTGGTAACTTATTACGTTGTCTGGTCCGGGAGAACCTTCGAAATTGGGATTTAATCCTTCCTGTCGCTCAAATCGCGTATAATAGCTCCGTAAATCGTTCATTAGGTATGAGTTCATTTGAAGCCGTTCACGGATACAAGCCTAGGAAACCATTAGGTCTCATCCCTATGTCCCCACAGGCTAGAGTGTCAGTATCAGCCGAAGCATTTGCACAACACCTTCGTGATTTGCACATTGAGATCAATAAACAACTTGAAGCTAGTAATGCAAATTATAAACTACAAGCTGATTTACATAAACGACATATTGAGTTTAATGTTGGGGATTACGTTATGGTTCGCATTAGGCCAGAGCGGCGTCTACATGGACCCGCCTCCAAATTGCAAGCTCGTAGTGCTGGTCCTTTTAAAATTTTAAAGCAAGTTGGTCCAAAATGCATATATTGTCGACATTCCATCACACATTGGTTACCACCATACTTTCAATGTTGAAGACCTTGTAGCTTATAAAGGCCATTTCATTCCCTCAGATGATCCCCCGTTACCTCCTTTTGTGGACCTTGATCCTAATTTTTTGGCCCCCTCTAACCCACTACCACCTCTCACAGCACACACAGATAAAATTGATGCTATTTTAGATGAAGAAACTGTGTTCACTAATGATGGAGAGGTTCAGCGCTTCCTTGTTCGTTGGGTTGGTCGACTTGATTCTGATTGTGCATGGATCTCCAGGGAGACACTACAACATTTGGATCCAGATTTGCTAGAGCTTTATCGGAGTCAGCAGGATCTTTCTTGGTCCAGATCGCCTCCCGTCCACCCAAGGGGAGTTGATGAGGACGCCAGGTTCAGACCGCCACTGACGCATTTCTACAGACGCCGAAAGAAACTTGCCCAACCACTCAGCTTATGGTTGGGAGATTGAAGAGAGTCTACGGTGATATATCCACTCGACAGGGTCGAGTTTTCTCCCACTCCGGGAGAGTTAATGAGGACATCATTATAGTTGGACTTTTATTATTGTTTCAGTATTTTACTTGGACTTTTATTTAAGTTTACGTATTTTAGTTAGGACTTGAGTAATGGGCTTGGCCCTATATTTCTAGGTTTTTATTATTTAAACCTATCTTGGTTTGTAATTTTGGACGATGAATGGATTGAGAATTATTGGTTTGGCTGCTGCCGTCTCTTCTCCCTCTTCTGCCCTATTTCTCCTCCTTCTTCCCTGTTTCTCTGTGTTCCCTCTTCCCCACCATCCTAATTCTGCATCACTTGGAGCACATAAATAAAAATGGCATTTCGACTTATATTGACATTTTACTATATCAATGGCTCTAGGGGCTTATGATGACGAGGAAGCTGTAGCGAGAGCATATTATCTTGCTGCTCCATGGGGCCCTGGAACGCTCACAAATTTTCTTGTAACAATCATAAGTACTCTGAGCTTTGTGTTTTAAGTTCTTTGATTTATAACCTAACAGTTAACTGAAATTGTTTAGAGGTTAGCCCTTTTATTTGTAGTCATCCCAGTTGGTTTTGTTTACATGTATCTATAAAATTCATTGGGCAGGTGAAAAATTATACGAGAGCCCTTGAAGAGATGCAAAATATTTTCAAAGGTGAGTTTTTACTTTGGGTATATACCAATGATATCAAAACCAGCCTGGACTGGCCGGTTCAACCGGTAAAATTGGGAATCGGGCCCAAAATTTGGCCAATCATGCTCGGTTAACCGCTTAAAAATACATCAAACCAGTTGGTTTAACCGTAAATTGGTGAATGGTCTCGGTTTTGTAGTTTTCCCAATTTTTTTTTTTTAGTTTAAAAAAAATTTCAACTTCATGAATGAGCCTCATAAACAACAATTCAAAGGCTCATAGAGAAATATTGGATGACATGCTCATTTTTTAGATACACCTCTCAAATAGTTTCATAAACTTCCAATGTGGAATAGTATATTTTATAGATGCACATGCACTTCTCTCCAATGATTACATGAACTTTCAATGTGGGGTAGTGGCATAACAAAAATGTTAAACAAATTATAGGATAATGAATCTAATTAAAAAATTATTAATATGAAAACTAAAAAAAAAATTTATTGTTTTCATAGTATTTTATTATTTTTGTGTACATTTATTGCATCTGATTCGATCCCGGGTTGATTTTCAAAACATTGGTATATACTCTGAATTGATGTTCTTACTCTTTCTTATAAAGCATTTCTTTTGCAGAAAGAGCAGTGGTTTCTCAAGGGATCTCCAAATACCGCCCCCCTCTCCAAGTATGCTTTTGTACATTCATTTTTCTTTTATATGCGAATGACAGCTGTACAAGGCATGACTGTAGGTTAGTTACCATCCATATGCCCCTTTATCCGGAAATACTGGTTTTAGTTTCTTGATATGTTAGTTATCATCCATATGTCCCCTTATCCAGGTGTGCTTTTGTACATTCATTATCCTTTTATATGCGAATTATAAGGCATAGATGTAGGTTACTTATCATCCATACATCCCCTTATCTAGAAATGTTGATTTTTTTTTTTTTACTTAAAATCAAGAATAAATTAAGTTATCCAATGGTGTTTGGACAGAAATTAGTTAAAACTAAGTTTACTATTTTTAGGCTTAGTCAAACTTTTTTCATCTTCAACTCTTTGTGTGCATTGCTAACTTGAACTCAAAGACTTAATATATGGCAACTGTAATTTGATTTCGTGTGCATTTGGGAATTTTGGTCGAAGCACTTCTTTCGTTTTTATTTTGCTTATATGCCGTCGACCCCAGCAAGCCCTATTCAATTGCCTTTTTGCGAGATTGCGTTCATGACAACTGGAAAATGATTGCATTGATTTTCTCAGCCGCTGTCAGGTTTAAAACTTCTTTAGGGCTATGGATGGGTTGCTGCACGTTCGTATGTGGGTAGAGAAATTTTTTGTCTTTAGTAAGATATCAAATAGAATCACTTATAGTGGATTATATACTATACTGAACCGGAAGCATACCACTACTAGAACTCAAAATTTGTAACACTGTTTTAGAGCAAAATAGGGGCTTTGCTGTTGAAATTAGAGATGTTACGTTTCTAAATTGTATGAACCATTACAATTTCTTATCCAAAAGATGCAATTTGATGCAGCCAAACATGTTGAGAAAAAAGACACCGAACCAAATTCATTTCCAAAAACCAGCAGAGGAAAGCCTGCAAAATGGTTTTGTTACCAGTTGGAATAAATAGCCTAAGCAACATTTCTTCCAATTTAAGCGGGGGTGGAAGAAACCATTCATCAACAGGCTGGCTGCTTCTCTGTACTTTGACACAATTAAATCAACGTGAACCGAGTCTTATTTTGAATCTTCTTATTTACCATACTATGCTTTGGAGTTGGTTCTTTGCATATAAGTTAGAATATTGATCTTGTCTTTGGGGTATAGTATCTTCAATTTCTTCCCAAGTTTGTCAATTCTGTTACTTCTAATTGTTTTTTTTTTTTTTTTTTTCTTTCTCTCATTGTTACTGACATTTCTTTTACTTTTTTAATTCCAATTCTGTTCAATGTTTTTTAATAAATAGAGGAAAGATTTGCATCTACTCTTCATTTCTCTCGAAGGGAAATCGTTCGAGGAAATTGGAATTTCATTTTCGACTGTCTTCTTGAAATTATGTATCCTACAAAATACTTTCCACACTCATGTACAGAACTGCAACAATGCTAACTTGTAGAAATGTTCTGCTTGAAGTACTCCCATTCCCACCTCTCTTCTTTGAAAGAACTTGAAAGTGTTTGTATAAAAGCTACATGAGGTATAATAACTATTTTTCTAGAAATTATAAGCATCGTTAGTAGAAGATATTAAAAATACTGATAAAAAGCCATTGGTCAACTCAATAATAATATTGTGTATAGGTGATTTTGTTTTCTTTTATATGGTTTACAGAACTCCTCATATTGAAATTCCAACAATGTGTTCTTATATTAAAAAAGTGAACCATCCTTGATACTAATAGTATTAGATTTTATATGAACAATGAATTTTCAACGCGCATGTCATTCTTCAATTTTTAACATTTAAAATGCTAATATTATCTTAAAAATAACAAAGCAAAAGGCTAGTAAAAGGAAAAAAGAGCGAAGACTAGTGAGGTTTTGGATTTTGTTGAGGTTTACAGTTCTAAAGAAAAGGGACACATTCAACCTCTCTCTATCCAATCCAAGTGGATGAGATTGTTTTGTCAATTAACGTTCGACCCACAATTTTTTTAACTTTCCACATATGGTTGAGAGATACACCATTAGTCATGTGCTCGTCTCATGGATTAAATGCTTGTTCAATTTTTTTATTATTTTCAAAAGATATTTCTTCTATTCATTTTAATCAATATATTCTTCAATAAAATAATATTACATACAAATTCAATATTTTTTAATCACATATTATTCATTAATCTAACATTTGAAAATACATTCTTAACCTTCACATCATATGCACGTTCTTAGATATAAATTAACTTTTACTTTACATTAATTTTTTAATTTTAATTTTTACCTGACATGAACTATATATTATACTTCATTAGCCAAATTTCATTCATAATAAATTAATAATTTCAAATTAGATAAACATTACATAAAGAACAAAGGAAACATGAATCAGAGTTCTTTCTCTCAAGCAGGCAACGTTTAACCCCAAATAAAATAAAATAAAATAAAATAAACAAAAAAATAGCTAACCAGTTGAACTGAATCAAAACTAATAATAGTAAGGTTAAGTTCTGCAATTGCCTAAAACTCCACTGCCGGAGCTCAACCTTAAGACGGACAGACAAACACCTATTACACAACAATTACAAAGAGACCGACATAAATTACTACACATAATAGATTTATAAAGCCGACCAATCGATTTCATATGATGGGTATTTCTCCAGTGAATTCATGTCCCACGGCGAATCCTCCTCTGTGAACTCCAGGAATGTAAGATCCGAGACCGGTGATGACCCACCCGACCCATCACTCTCGGACGCAGGTTCAACAACATTCTTGGTGGAACTTTCCTCTGCAGGGGCCTCCACGGCTGGTGACGATTTTTTGGACCTTCCTTTGGACTTCTTGGAGTCGATGCTCTTGCCCTCTGCAAGATTTTGGCAAATAGACTGCAATTTGGCGTCAACGGAGGCATGAAGGGGCTTGTACTCCCCAAACTCGCCGCCGATGTGGGATCCGTTGTGGCGGAGGTGAGGGAAGTTCAGCCTAGCAAAGTCTCCACGCAGCTTATACGCCGCCTTGTCGTAGGCCAACGCCGCCTCCTCCGCCGTGTCGAAGGTGCCAAGCCAAAGCCGGGTGCGGTTCTTTGGCAAACGGATCTCAGCGACCCACTTCCCCCAGTGGCGCTGCCTCACTCCTCTGTAAAGCTTGGTGGGCTTAGGAGGAGAGCCCACTTGTTTCATGGGAACAGGCTTTGGGCCCAAGAAGTTCATGTTATGGGCCTGTGTGTTAAATGGGCCTGAGACCATTTGTTGCTGGTTTTGGAGATTGATCCGTGCTTGGATTTCTTGGATCTGGGCTTGGGTAAGGTGGTTGAGCCCAATTGAACAAGGCTGTTGATACACAAAGTTCCCACTATCCAAGTTCAAATTGGGCTGGAAATTTGACTCTACTGGGTAATAGCAAGAATTGAAGGGATAAGAACTGGAGGTAGAAGGAGAAGAAGAAAAGGAGGAGGAGGAAGAAGGTAGATTGGAAGGAGGAGAAAGAGAAGTGGAGGAAGCACTTTTCATAAAAGGTTCAAGTGCTTCCATTAATTCACCACCTCTAAAGGGATCTACAACTGACGCACTGCTACTCCAAAAATCCATTGCAACTGCCATACTAGGGTGGAAAAAAAAAAGTTACCTGTTTCTTAATAAAATCAAAGAACACAGGTTGTGTTTTTACAGAAAAATATTAACAATAAAAAAGGTGATTTTTTTGTGACTTAGAAAAGCGGATTAAAAGAGGTCTACAAATAAACAACCTCTCAGATCCTGTGGCTAAGTAAAATACAGCCAAGAAACGAATCAGAAAAAATAAAAATAAAAAGATCTCGATCTGAAAACACCTGGCTTTCTGATAATCTTGCTCTAAGTTTGCTTTTTGTTCATAAGAAAATCAAACCAGTAAAACAAACCTGTAAACTCGAAAGACAGATTGTTCGCAGAAAGGGATCAAAGAAGCGGGGTGATCCAGAGGGGGGGGTGGGGAAAGAAAATATTGTTGAAATCAAATTGAAAAGAAAGACAAAAATCGAAAAACTCTCAGAAATTCTTGATTTTAGTATGTGCAAAGTGTGTGCTAGGTGAGAAGAAAACCTCACTTTTTCTCTGTGGTGTTAATCTCTTCACCCGCTTCTTTATATAATGGCTCCGGGCCACTGCTTTCTCTCTCTAACTTATCGTGTAAAACGCGCTTTTTCACATTCTCGCCACTATTCATTTAATTAATTTACACGGCGTTTCAAGTAGTTGTCTACAATGGTCTTGTCTAGCGTCAGCATTTGTTTGTGTTAAACCAATGAGGATTAACATAGTGTACTAGGAACTGACAGGTGCCTTGGCCTTTACTGGCACTGTCGGTCGGCTCACTTTTTTTGTTGACTGTATTTATGCGTTCACACATGGTTGTCTCTTTCAGAGATATATATATATATTTATTTTACATCAAAATATATATACACACACACACATATATATATATATATACATACATAAATGATTCGATGATATGGCATACCAATTTTGATCTCCATTTTAGGAAAGAGTTAAGCTTCTCAAACATGAAATTTTGAAACAGGAAATGTTGACATAGCGCAAGGAAAAGGTAGGATCTATAGCCTAAATGGAGGATAATATATGGCCATAGCAGAATCAAGAAAAGATCGTTGGGTGCTTGCTCGCTCTTCCAAATCAAGGATGGAAATAAAAAATTATATCGTAATAAAAGGAATTCGCTTTCTTAATAGGCGAAACAATTGACACAGACTCAGTACCGTCAATAATAATTTTAACTACAAATTTTATGGAATTCAAAATTTTTATATCAACTTTTCAACTATAGTTTTTAATTTTTATCAACTTTTATGAAAACAAATTAATAGGGTGTTTGATACCTATTTTTATGGAAAAATGAATTTTAAAATAGTAAATTTATTAATAATGTGTGGATGAAAAATAAATAAAAATTTTATTTATATATAATATTATTTTAATAAAGAATCAAACAGGGCATAAATCTAATTTTTAGCAAAGGCATATGCGGGCTTCATTTCTTTAGACGCCGTTCACGTGACTTGAACAATAATGTAGGAAAATACCAAAGCAAGTTGGCAGCGATCACGTGCCTTTTTCTATTTTCAATTCGTTTTTCTTTTCTATTTTCGTACAATTAAATTAATATTTGTACATAGAACAATAAAAAAGTAATTTATAATTATGCTAAGTCACGTGATAATGTAGTGCGCCAAGTAAGGCCAACTTCTTGTGGCCGAGGAAATTTGGACATGCAATTATTTATTTGTTTTTAGCTTTGTTAATTTACTACCGCTTATTGATGGCATGATTAAAAATATAATACAATATCTATAGCCGTAAGTGCGATGTATAAGAATAATTTCTGGAATGTGATTGAAGTCTATAATGAAAGATCAACCACAAACGTCGATATTTTAAATTGAGTCAAATGTACAATGTGATATCTTAAGAATTGTCATTAACATAATGAGAAGAATTAATTGGAGATAATTGAGATTTATGACAAAGATTAAGCACGTAATGCGCATAATCAAGACAAAAATGGAACTCTCTTGAAGGATGAGTGATTTTCTCAAAATAAAGTTCGAGTTACATTGTCTAAAAAAGCATCTGAATTCTTAATAATTAGAAGAAAATCAAAGTAATTATCGATCTATATGTTATTATGAACAATATTATCGTGTTAAAACCAAATCACAACGCTTTGACTCGTACGAGTTCAAGCCCTATAGCAAATTAATTAAACCTGCCGACACCCAAAAGGCCATTTGCATCGCTATCCCAGCCAACAAAACCCCAATTGCCACCAAAGTCAATGAAAGGAGAAAATAAAATTAAATGGGAAGAGAAAAATAGATACCAAGTTTTAAACAATCTTAAAATCCAAGTCAAATGTAAACCCCACCACCATTATTACCCATGTTAATGATTGTGCATCCCAATGAAAAATAGTTGATACTGCTAAGTTATCTCCAATCCTCTCTGAAATTTTGTACCATTTTACACTAAATTTTGTATCAAATTAAATATCATATTTAATCATTACACTAAAACTCGTACCAAATGAACAGTGTTTAATCATTTTCTTCACTTTTTTTAACAATTTATTTATTTTACAAATATATAAAATACTAAACAAATAATTACGTTAATAAAATTTATTTTAAATGTACATAATATTTTTTTGTTTTTATTTTAATTAATTCATTAACTATTATTTTTTTACATTATTAAAATTTATTTTAAATGTACATGATGATGATAATGATGATGATGATTTATCTGTATTAAAAAATATATAAAGCAAATGAGACAAATGAGTCGTCAATTTGTTTGGCAAATAAAAAATGGGGTAAAATTGACTTTGTGTCATTTTGTGCAAAATAATGCAAAAGTGAATAGTGTTGCACCACCAAAATGATGCAAATTTTGATGCTATATTGGAGGTCATTTGCACCAAAAATTGGTGCATTTTGGTGCCTTCTTTGAAGATGCCATAACTACATATTTAGATAGATTTTGTTGATCTCAAGATCAGGTGATATTGCGGGATCTAATTTCAATTTATTTCTCATTCACGCCTATATTATCTACACATTTGAGCAATCATGTTAGACTGTTGTGATGATTGCACCAATATTAGAACTACAATCACAAGCAATCTAACGTAATTGTCCAAGTCTACTATAATTTACATGTGAACGAAGAGAAGATGAAATCTGTTGTATTACTCGACATCGTCAACTTTCGAGGTCAACATATAACTTTCCTGGGGAAACTCATTTTTCACAAAAAATAAGGCCCTGTTCTCTTTACCGTTTTCGGGTCGTTTTCTGTTTTAGATTTTTCAAAACGGTGAAAACGTGTTCTCTTTCCCGTTTTCGAAAACGAAAAAACAAATTCAAAATACAAAACTGAAACACAAAGAGAACACCCCCTAAAATCCTTAGGAGTTGCTTTTTATTAGAGAGATTTCAATAAATTTAATAATTTTAATTAAAGGTCAACATATAACTTTCCTGGGGAAACTCATTTTTCACAAAAAATAAGGCACTGTTCTCTTTACCGTTTTCGGGTCGTTTTCTGTTTTAGATTTTTCAAAACGGTGAAAACGTGTTCTCTTTCCCGTTTTCGAAAACGTTTTCGAAAACGAAAAAAAATTTGTGAAGAAAACACAAAACGACTTTTTTGTCGTTTTGGGCGTTTTCAGTGTAAAACTTGAAAAAATTGAAAACGCGGGAAACACTTCTTTTTTTTTTTTTTTTTTT